TATAAAAGATGTAAAATTTCGAAGTTTAAATTTAAATTCAATATCCCTTATTGAATATAAATATTATATATTCAATAAGATCATAACAAAATATATTATCTACACATTGTGGTTATCTATTAAAACACGTGCATATACAAAATAGTATAAAAGATACTGTAAAGCTTTAGAGTTTTTTTTATATAAATAAACTACCTCAAAATTAAATATTATTATACTAATTGCAACAGTTTTTAGATTATATATCATATCTTATTTATATAATTAAATATTAAAAATCGGTCATATTAAAAAATCAGGCATAGTAACAAGCTTTATATCTTCTCCTTTTATATTAAAAAAACTAATTGCAATGAAAATCGGATGTAATATTTAATTGATAATTTAAATTTTAAATTTCTTGCAATTCGATTGCCATAAAATCGGGCAGAATATATAATCGAATATAAAAGATGGTAAAATTTCGAAGTTTAAATTTAAATACAATATCTCTTATTGAATATAACTATTATATATGGGATAAGATCATAACAAAATATATTATCTACACATCTACACATTGTGGTTATCTATTAAAACACGTGCATATTATCTACACATCTACACATTGTGGTTATCATCTCAGTATTTATTTTATATATACTAGGAAAATTTTCTCTCAAAAATTTTATAATGTCTCTATTTAGGCTTATAATATTTTAGATACTTTTATATAATATTTTATTATATCATATTCTATCTATATATACATATACATATACATATTAAATTTAAATATTTTTAGGCATGTTTCTTTACAAAAAAAGTTTAGAAAATGTCTTTCATATAAATGTGAAATTTATTTTTTTATACATGTTTTCTTATAATAATAATATAGAAAATTTTAGATACTTTGACATATGTTAAAATAATATTCTATGAGTTTTAATATTTTAAACATACAAATTTTATATTCTCTTAAACAAGCTAATTTTATATTGTTTATAATAAATTGATATGCCGTAAATTATATGACATGTTAACTACATATCATTAATTTATAATTATCATTTAGTATTGTTTACTCTCATTTTTAATTTATAATATTTTTTCTCTTGCTCTTTTAAGAGAGGATCAACAGTGGTTTCTCATTTTTTTTTCATTGGGTGACTCAAACTCGAGACTTATTTATAATTATTGTTTAATATTATTTACCCGTGCATCGCACGGGATACGCACTAGTTCTTGTTGTATCATTTGCCATATCGGTTTTGGTTTGTATTGTTTTTAAGTTGTTAATATAATTATCTATTAATATATAAAGAGGGAATGATAGTTGTTTGAAAAATCAGGTAGAAAATCAACAAAAAAAGATTTCAATTCCCGCCTAAAGTTTAGAGCAAGATTTTTGGCAAAAAATGAATAAGCCCGCCCATGCAATTCGAAATTTTTGAAAAATTATTGTTTGATTTCAACTTATTTGGATTTATCTATTTCTACAATCTGATTTTTTTAATCTAAAATTTGAATGAAAAAATCCGAAAGAAAAAAGGAGACAAAAAAAGGAAAATAATCTCTCTCTTTCTCATCCCCAAATCCTTTTCTCTCTCTCTCCATTTTTCCCTTCTTTTCTTCTTTTGCCCGATTTTCTTCTTTCCCTCATCCGTCACTCTCCTTCTTTCTTCTTTCTCCAACCCCAAATTACCTCCCAACATCAGAATCGGTCAGCCATCCTCAACTATCCTCTTAAAATTTATCAATAACACCCAAGAATTCCAAATTTCGAATCAATTTCCTTTCTTCCCCATCCAATCGTTTCTCTAAAATCCGGCCGGTGGTCGAGCCTGAAAACAACGCCGACGGAATTGAATCGGCCAGAGAGAGGATGAGGCCCGTGTCAGAGATCGGCAGATGACTAACAACGCAGGCTGTATCTCCGTCCGAGTAAGCTTCTTGGCTTTCAGTTAGTTGTGTGTGCGGTTTTTGTTTAATTAGAAGAATAAAAGCCAGTTAGTCTGTTTTTCTTTTAGTGAGTGAAGCGAGTCACAGAAAATAATGGGGTGAAAGGCGAAATTTCGCAGATGGAGCGATTTTCGCGACAAAAGCTACTGAATCGAGATTCTGTTTTTCTCTTTTCCTTTTCAAATTATGAGCATTTATCCCGTTTTGTGTAGCAGTGGAATCATAATTTTTTTTCAATGTTTTTCGAGTCCATGAATGTAAAGTTTCGATTTTTTGTAGTTTTACTGAAGGCCCATTTGCATGAATGCAGATGAGTTGATTGTTTTCTGTGATTTATTCTTTTCATTCTGAGATGCTGTGTGTAAGATTTCGGTGGTTTAAGGTTATTTCACGAAATTCCGTTCTCTTAAGAAGCCTTTGATCTTTACAAATTGACACAGAAACAAATAAGAGTAATTTTATCTTCGTTGAATTGTTCTCTTTCTTTGTTTGATGGAAATATATAATTGACTGGTCACCAGATTTTGTTAATTTAGAAAGTAATCAAGTCGTTTTCATTTAGGTCTGCGTAATTTTTGCTTTATGTGACTTTGCTTGCAAAAGTTGGAAAGATTATGTTCGGTGGATCTCAGAATTATCTGTGCCGTGAGTACTGTCAATTTGCTGTTCTTTGATGTATTCTCCCTTCTTTATTTTGTTTTGTTTTGGGCAACAGAGACATTCATTAGCAGTATCTCACTCAATAAGGTTGAGATGATAGACTAAGAACTATACACATCCTTTTTCTTTTAGGGATGAATATTAGTCTTTCTTTTTTCTTGATTATTTATAAAATTAGTGATGATGGAAATTTTGTCTACTCTTATGTGCTTTTGATATTATTGAACTGTGGACTGTGAAAGGTGATGTTCTATATTGGAGTTCATGGCTATGTTTACATGCAAATTGCATTTTGTCTACCTTATGTATATTGTACTAATGGACTTGGGTGCTTTATGAATAAGGGTGTCTGGACGGACTGAACGTGTCATGGCTTTCGGACGTGGGCCGGCGGCTTGTGTCTGCACGAGGATTCTGTTCGCTGGGACATGACAGACACATTTTCTAGCATATTGAAGGGCATGGCATCTGAACGCTTGCTGAGAACGGCTAAAATTTTCTTGTCACGACGGAAGCTTGCAGGCCGGAGAAGGTGGCTTCTGTGGAAGCCGGAAATCGTTGGATGATCTCGGATTTATTGTCGGAGCAGAATGTTGGTTGCGTAACCAGAGAAGAAAGCTGGAGATAAGGCAGGCAGGCGATATTTCAGCATAAGAAACTTCGGTGACAATTTATCTAAAATTTTCCGTGAAATTTATCTAACCAGATTTTACCGTTTTAACATATATTTTCCTTTATCAATTTGTTTTAAATCCCTAATATTTCGTTAGTCTATTTGATATACTTTCAATTTTTTTTTCCCTATATTTCTGTATGAGTAGTTATTTGAGTTTGGCAACATATCTGGTGTAATTGGCAATAATTCTTAACACCATTTTAGAAGGAATAATTTTCTTTTGAAATGAAAAAAAAAATATTGTGAAAATTTGACAATATGTATTAAAAACTCTTGACGTCGTTACATTGTAAATTTATAAGAATATTTAAAATATTTTATCTCCATATTCATAAAGTTAAGGTAAATAAATATTGGCTGGAATAGTTCTGATGGAAATCTTTCAATTATTCCTTACTTCATTCTTTTAATTTATTGTTTTTCCAGTTCAAATAAATTGCTCAAAAAAACCAATGTTCCACATGTAAATAAGCAGTTGATTAAACTTATGAATTTATAATATATATCAAATGATTATAAATACGTGCAAAGAAATCTTCTTGATTTGGGGCCGTCAATCTTTGGTATAGATAAAAACTAAATTAGATTTAATTAGGATTTTTAAGGACTTTTTAAGACTTTAGAAATCCTGGTGTATTCAATTTAGATTTGTTAAGACTTTTTAAAACTTTTAAAAATCTTGGGGTATTCAATTGAGATTTTCAAAAGTCTTACAAAATCCTGAGGTATTTAATTTTTTTGACACTAGGATTTATTAAGACTTTTTAAGATTTTGTGGGATTTCTAAACAAAAAACCTTATATGAAATCCCACTTCAAATCCTACCTCTGGACTTGAGATTTCATAGAATTCTTCCAAAATCTGAAAATCCTAGAAAGTCTCAAATCTCGAAAAGTCTTAAAATGTCACTTAAATTCCGAATTGAATACACCCCCCTTAGGATTTATTACCCACTAAATTCGTGAAAATTGAAAGTAGTTAGCATATTTTTATATATTTTCAAATATCTATAACCATTTCAAATATTGCAGCTATAACCATTATTAGTTGAATGATTTAAATTTGAAATATAATATATTGATAAAACTTGCGTCTATTACCTTTATTAGTTGTATGGTTTAAATTTGGTATATAATATATTGAAAGAAAAAAAAATATTTTTATTTAAAATAAAAAAAAATTATTCATAACTTACGAGTTAATATTAACTTGGACGTAAACGAAATAGTCAATTATTTATAGTTTAATAATTTACTCAGTAACTTACAGGTCAATATTAACTTGAGCGTAAACAAAGTATAAATCAATTGTTTATAGTTTAATAATTTACTCGACTACTTAATTTCTTTTGATTTGGATAGTTTATACAAAAAAAAAGTTATTTTAAGTAATGAAGTAATATAAATAAACCGAGGTCGTTAAATATATGATAAAATTTTACCAAAATAACTATTTTATAGAATCACATTATAGTCAAATCGAATTTTGAATAAAATTTTTGAAATGACACTTATTTTGAAACAAATATAGTGCAATTTATTATCAGTTATGTGCACCGCACGAGTTGTGTACAAATTTTACATTGACATTTTTATGTAATTTTGCACAGTTAAAACTTTATATAATATTATCAATAAATTAATATAGGTAAATAGTATTACATATTGATTTCATATATTTAATTTATAAATATTATTTAATAAGAATTTTTAATTAAACATTAATGAATATCTCTTACCCGTGCATACGCACGGGACTCGTGCTAGTTTTTTTGGAACAAAGGAGTTGGTACTTGTGTCAGTTAATTGTAATTGTATCCACGTGTCGTGAAACGGGTTTACCTTTGCATTCGGTATCATCCTCAAGAGCTCAACGGCTCAACCCGATTCTATCCATCATTTTCCTCTAAACTCAAGAAACCCACGCCTCGTACACGTGACAGACTGACGATAGATCAACAATGGTTTTTCTTCTCAATTGGAAATTTGCAGCAGTTATCGATTACACCACTTCGAAATAAACGTGCTCAGTACCACAATGTTTTTCAACGGCGCTGTTCAGCGGAGGCTGGCGGCTCTTCTACAGCCATGGCTGATGGGCGACCAAGAGCTGGAGCTCAAGCTCGGGCTCCTCCACTCGAAAGGGGTCCTGAGCAACGTCAGGCTCAACGCCGCCGTGCTTAACGGGTTGCTGGACGACCCGTCCAGAATTTGCTTCAAAGGGGCAACCGTCGAGCACATCAGCCTGGAATTCTCCCCCTTTTCTCCCGTCGCATTCACTCTCGTACTTCGTGGTGTCAGCATTGTTCTTTCAATCGGGTAGGTTCTGATGTGTTGCTGCCATGTTGCTGATGTTGTTCATTTTCTAATTTGTATATATATTTTTTTATTGCATTTGTGTCTGCTAAAAGAGAAGAGGAGGATGAGGGGGGAGGTAAGTGGAGGAGGAAGCCGAGGGATACAACCATAGAGGAAAGAAATAAGGCTCTAGAAGAAATTGATCCTGAGGTACTTTAAACTATACAGTAATTAGTGTGGAATTTAGAAATGTGATTGGATTATTGATTTGTATCGTATGCTATAACTTGGTTTTTGTTCAGTTTATGCTTTTTGTATATAGTTGGAATGTGTCAGCTTCGTAACATTTTGGAACTTGAGAGGTTTACAATCTGGTGCTTTTGTGCTGATTTGTGGTTGCCATTTGGTTTGGCTACTTCTGAAGTTTGGATCAAATATGCTTGACGAAAAACTTCCCTGTTTTAGGTAGCTATCAGTTTCCTTATTTTACATATTCGGAGGTGGGATTGTCATAGAGATTTTTTCCTATTATCTGCTTGAAACTTTGCGAAGTTGGAAAGCAGAGTTGCTATTGCATTACTTACACCAACTGCACATAGGTATCAGCTAGGAACACACGAGGGAAGGACGGATTTAATACATTTTTATATTATATTGTGCATCTTGACCTTATCTTTGGTGGAAGGGAGATTTAGCATAAGAAGAGTAGAGGAAAGTCTTAAAGATGGGGTAGCAGAAAAGTTTTTATGAGCTGTAGGAAGTCTTGTTGAAAATATTTAAATTTATGTAAATGCTTCTTGGCATATCTATCATCTTGGATGTATTTTTTCTCCAAATCTTGCTTGACCAGTGTCAATAGTATCATGGTGCATTTATAACTATAACATCGAATCTCAGTTGATGACTTGATTCTGGAATTTCTGTCGTCTGTTATTTTAGGCTAATTGTTAGTGTGGTTCTCCTGAATGTCACTAGATCATGGTGGAATATTCAACTTTCTCTTCGATTGATGAATGTGCTAGTGCAGAACTCTTCCTTCAATGCTAGCTAATGGGGAGAGGGTACCAACCCACATTTATCCACTAAAAAACTGTGTAAATCAGCCATGTGGGACAAACCTAACTTCTAAGTTCTAAGACCCACCCTCACGTGTAGCATGCCAGTTCAAACAGGAGTCCAAACCCAACAATCCTCTAAACGAACATACATGTTTGCTCTAATACCATGACAAATGGCCAAGGTAGAACTCATCCCCAAAAGATAGCTCAAAAGGAGAGGGTGCCCAATCACTTAGCGTTGTAGTCATTTGGGACAGTCATAAATGATAGCATATATTAACTGATATAAGAAAGGTAAATAGCAGATTTTTTCATTTTTCTTAGGTGACATGACAATTTTTTACTGCCTTCCTTTATTCATCTCTCTCTCTCTCTCTCTCTCTCTCTCTGTATGTATTCCTTGAGAATATATTTCGATCCTCAATCAAATTTATGAATCTGTATATGGTTTCAGGGTTGTGCTTTGCATGGTTCTATTAAAAAGATTACGGAGATTACTACCCGAAGATGGAGAGAGTCGTTATTGGATACTGTTTTTAGACATTGTCACTTGGATTTGCAAGATGTACATGTGCTTCTGCAGTCTCCTAGTTTGCATGATTCATTGTCATGTTCATTGTACACGGAAAAGCTCAGGTTTGCATCCAGAATTATACGTCCGTGCTTTATTCGCGAGCTCATAAGTTCATTTTTGGTGGCCGTAGAAGAGAGTCTGATTGATGTTGATATTAACAGTTTTGAGATTAGGTTGAACAGTGAAAGTCGAACAAGTTCTGTATTACCTGCCACCAATATGTTCGCTGTAGTAAATTCGAATCAACTTCAGTCCATGAGCCTCTGGTTTCATGTTCCAGCATTAAATATTTTATTCTCTCCATTTGATCTCTCTGTCATATTATTACTTTATGGACTTCTGTCGAAAGAGAGGAAATGTCCTAGAACTGGAAGGCAACTGTGGAACATAGTGGCAAGCAGAATAAGTTCTCTTCTTCCAAGTTCCAGCTTGTCATTGGTTAAAGTAGTTAAGATTGTGAGTCTGTGGTTGCATTACGTACAAACCTACCAGAGTATACTTCTACGAGTGGGATATCCTGCAAGTGAAAGAATGCAAAGATCGGCTACCTTAATGTTTCAGGATGCAGCGTATTCTAGATCTGTCAAGTCTCAGTGGAATTTGATTGCTGAAATCGAGGATTCTCTGCCTCTGGAAGCAGTTGCAGTGGCTCGGAGAATAATCCGACACAGAGGGTCATTAGGAATTACTGTTGAAAATCACAATTCTGGTGAAGTGCCTGCTACCTGGCCTCTCCCGAAGCTGTTTCAACTACTTGTGCTCATTTTGAGCATGATAGGCAGTTTGTTAGTTTCAGTTGTGAAGATTCTTTTTTTGCATAAGCTGGCTTTTTTCTCTGAGAGTAGCTCCCACTCTGGCTCTGTTCATGAATTCTCCATTCTACAACAAAGCATCACTCTGAAAATTCAAGAAATTTCAGTGTCTGTTTCTCCAGAAACTGATGTACAGCCTTCTAAGAGTGGGAATGCATTTTCAGAAACAAAGATTGCACTTCAACCCTCACAAGAATTCAATTTTTATCTAGACGCCTTCTTCTTGAGATATATAGTAGATATTTCTGAAAAGTGTGTTACATTATCATGTGGGCATGTGAAGATTTTTTCTTGTGCTTTGAGAACCGGTGCTAGCAGGCACTCCAGAGAACATTGGAAGCAGGAAGTTGACAATAGGCAGATTATTGTATGGGGTGAGCCAGCTCAAATTATTAACATTCCTGAATCCACTATTGATAGTGCTAAGGATGGTAATGTTAGGACATCAGTCCCTCATTTAGACCACCTTTTAGGAAAATTATGGTTGAACTGGAAAGATTCTTATTATGAATCTGAAGGGGAAAACGTACCAAGTTTGCAGCTTCCTTGGATTCTTGTTGATATAAGGAGTTATTTGGTGGATAATGTAATCAGAGATTCTAGTTCGCGGGTTAACTGTGGCTTGATTATTGGTAAACTGAATGCCAATCTGGGGTATTATTCCATCGTATCAATTACAGTACTCCTAAGACAATTACAGTGTGCTTGTTGGAACCTGGGGAGCAAAAATGTTGTTTGGCATACACCAACTACGATTAGTGAGGATCCACCTGTGAGGTATTTTAGTAAAGTCGCATCACATTTTAGCCAAGTGCAAGCGGGAATTATTAGAATGCTTCCTGAGAAGCATATACAACTTGGGGCTTTCGTTGCTGGTCCTCACATACTGATATCTCCGTCAAATGACCAGTTTAACTCTCATCATTTTGATGCACAGATCTCATTTGAAATCTGCAATGTTGAACTTCTGGTATCACCAAATCTGAAAGATATTGTTAGATTATTTGGTGAAAACTCAGACTGTCTTGGACTAAAAAAACCTCAAGAATTTGATATTTGTGAATCAGATTTTGGAGCTTACAGCTGTCAAGGGCAGATTTCAATCAACGCTTACTTAAAGATCAATGGTTTGAAGGCTTACATTGGTGATACCATTGGGAATCACAAACACGAGATTATTTCATTAGAGCCAAAAACTGCAGTACTCGATTATGTAAGGTAATTCTTACCTTGTACATTTGTTCAGCTTCCAATTTATAAACTGTATAAAGCTCAGGATGACATATGTTAAAGTTCATTCCTGATAAATGGTAGGTGTCTTTGACATAGCTTCGTAAAATTCATTGGTTATAATTTACTCTAAAAGTCTGACATCATTAGATTCTTCTTATCGGCCATATTAGGTGCTAAATAAAATAGTATCAGTCTTCTACAGACAATATACCTATTTTCTTTGGGTTCAGCGAGTAAGAAAACTTTGACATCTCATTTCACGTCCAAATTTAACCTCATTTTGCTACCTCCTTTAATGTATGATCAGTTAGTTTTCGCAGTCAAATTTTCCTGCTATCAAGCTTACTTATATAAAGCATTGATGAGGTGATGCTTCAGGCCACTTGAGTGATAAATAATATGAGGTGGACATATGTTTCATTCTATGAGAATTTCCTTTCTTTTTGGTTTTTAATTTTCATACTTTGTCTTCTCCTTTTCAGTTTCTTGTAAAATTCAGAGAGAAAATGAAAGATGTACAAGTCACTTCAAAACTAGCAAAATTATAAGCCAAAATTTAATGGAAATTTGATATCTGAAGATTTGCTAAGATATGGTAGTTTCTCAAATTATGTTTGCCTACGCATATGAGCAGCCTCTTTGTGCGCAGCCATCATTAATACATGATGATCTTCTGATTTGGGTATTTTTCTTATCTATGGCAGGAAGGATCACCATTCATTTTGTTCATCAGTTGTTACTGTCTCAGCAGCCTTCCGTTTCATGTCTGCTGGTGTTTCCTTTTTGTTTTTTCTGGATGAGTTGTATGTTTTGTCAAAGGTGACTTGTCTTTAACTTCTGGCTGGATAACATAGTTGATGTTTCCTTATCTCTTATTTATTATTGTATTGTACTGTATGCAGTCTGCTGTTGCGTGCCTGTATTTTTGAATGTATTATTGTGTTTTTGAAGTGCTTCTTATACTGGCTCTAACTTGTGAGAACTAAGAGAAGTAACAAGAGATTATCATCTGAAATGTTAATTAGTTAGCATTGGATCTTTAAGAGTGGCTAGCAATTTCTTTTCTTTGAGGATATATATTTTATTTAATTTTCTTCTATAACTACTATGTTTTTTCCTGTCCAGATAGTTTTTGCAGTACTTGAGGAGTCACGCGCCTTCACATTCGATGGATCTGTTGGTAATCAACGCTACAAAGAACTATCAAGGAGAGACACTGATTATTCTGAAGTCGAGTGTGGGCCGGCATCCTTTGTTAGAAGCAGACAGTCATCGCCAACAAATTCTTTGGTCTATGTCAACAGCGATTTCGAGCTTAACTCGTTTGACATGATTCTTCATCATTCGCGGAAGACTTTTAGTCAGGAGACCTACCGGAGCACAATGTCTAGTGAAGGGGAAATTGGCAGAAAGTTGGGAATCTACGTGTCTATACAGCGTCTAGTGATGGAATTTGTGTTTAATGGTTGGGAACTGGATATTATCATTGACCAAACTGGAGCTCAATGTATCATTTTTAGATATTTGACTGAATTTGATGGAAATTTTTGTGAATCTGAGCTGGAAAACCTCTTACGCTCTCTAAATTACTTGACTGAAGCTTCTGCTTGTTATGGCAAATTATGTTTCAACTTCAGAAACTCTGAGAAAGCCCCACCATTGGGAAGCTTGCACAGACCAGCTAATGAATCAAGTTCTCATGGTGTAACCCTTTACACGCAGGAGGATTCTTCTTTGTTTGTCAGTACAGAAACGTCATCAGATTGTTGGCTATCTGCAAATATTGTTCTTTCTGGAATTTGTATTATTGGATCACAAATGAAAGATATTTTGGTTGACAAACTCGAGGAATTCAGTGCATTCTGTTCAGTTGGGGGAGAATTCCAGGCCATCTCATGTGAATGCAAGGTATTTGTGCCTCTGTATATACAAGATCCTGAACTTTTTATGCTAGAAATTGGGCTTTTCAGTCAAAACTTTCGCCCTTCCCCCAACCCCACATCAAATGGTCGTAGTGAAGCAAGCAAGCTGTTATATGCATGTTAAGTATTCAAATTACTCATAGGCTGGTATGTGCTTCTTAACAGGGTGGTTTTGTGTTAGTTGAAGCAGCTGCTGTTACAATGTTCGTTGAATGTTCCACATCTTACTATCAAAAGATCTCAGATTTTTGGCCTTCTGGTCTATCATCTTGTAAAGATGCAGTTTCGCAATATGTCACTGAAATGGTTCCGCTAGATAACTACCTTAGTGCAAATCCTCAGCAAGTCCAATGTCCAGAAGTTACATGGGATCGTCTGCAAGCATTTTCGATGAGTCTTTTTCATCTATCTCTCATACTTATGGAGAGAGATGAATCTGGTAGATCGTCTTCTTTTATCCTTGAAAATGTTAAAACTTGTGTTGAAATATGAATGATTTAAGAGTTAACTTTGATGCAGGAAGTCGCCATGAACTTCTATGTGAGGTTAACTATCATGTCAGTTTCGAGCTCTTAGATACAGTTAGAAAACTTTCAGCAACTATTTCCAAGTTTTCTATGCTTTCCCGCTTCATTCATAAAGCCAAGGTTAGTCAAAGTCCATTTTCTTCTATGGTGCTTGATGATTCAATATTCTGATTTATAAGCCAAGACGCTAAACTCTTTCTTCAGGATGGAGAATCTATTCAACCAGATGTTTCTGACAGCGGGCCCAGCACCTCGGTCTCCCATAGGGGTTCTCATGTTGGTATTTCCATGAGCGATCCAGTGCAAAAGAACCAGTACATAAGCCCTCAAAAGTATATATTGAAAGATTTGCGATGTTCTCTAGCAGTTGAGGGGCCTGTGACAGAAGATCAGACTACTCTTGCTTACTTGAATAACATTTGGGTTGGTAGTGGTTCTCTGTCGGGGTTAGATATTACTATCTCTCTGTATGAAATAAAGGTACACAATACTGTTTAGATCATACCAATAGAAATCTATATAAATTATATTATAGCATCAAGTTTGGCAATTTGCATTGCCTTGACCTGCAGAATGCAGAAACTAGAAGAGAAAACAAAATTACATCTGAAATTTCTTTCTAGCTACATCTTTAAATAGGATATAATTGTTTATTTAAATTTTGGATAAGCTGTTCTTACAAACACAAAAATTTAGTATAGTTGCGTTTTTAGTAACACTATTCAAATACTTGTGTAATCAATCTGTAGAAAGCATATTAGAAGCTCATGGAAAGAATACTCCAGTCACTAATGGCTTTATAATTTTTCTTGATTGTTAGATCCTCAACTTTCATGAAGTTTTTTACTGCTAGCTGATTTTGTAATATTTTGAAGCTCTGGATATTTATAAATATTTCTCAGAGGCATTTTCACGTTGACATGTTATTTTCTTTCTGATTCTGTTGCACAGATGGTGCTTTCTGCTTTTGAATTTTTCTCCAAGATTTCGAACAGAGAGGGGACTATCAACGTGGAATCTAGGCACTGGTCTCATAACCAAGAAGCAGGAGGAAACTTGAGAGAAATGGTTCCTGATGGTACTTGGTTTCTCATCTCTTGTGATGCAACAGCTTTCTTTCAGATCTTCAGCTAAGTTGTTCAAGCAACTTCTACAGGAACAATTGTTGCTATCCAAGATGTCGATCAGCACATGTATATTGCTGTTGGAGGAGCAGAAAATGGGCATGATATAGAGGGTGCAATCCATTATTCGCTGGTGGGAGAGCGGGCTTTATTCAGTGTATGATGATTTAACACTTGTCTTGACTCTGTGTAATTATATTTACCTTCTTATATGACTGGAATCTGTATTTTTGTGGTCCAAGTATGAGGTTTTCATTTGAGCCTAGCACGCTCAGATCGTTACAAGCGATCATTTGTATTATGTTGCATTTGCAGGCTCTTGCTATAAGTTTATCTTCTTTGAGCTTAAACTGGATATATTCTGTTGAATCAAATTCCATCTCTTTCATGTTTGAAACATTGATTTATATTTGAAATGGAGTTCATTTGAATTGATATTAGATTTCTTTATGTAGTTATTTACAGCATAGGAATACCAGGTCGTGGCTGCTAGTGTGACGTTTAATTATAGCTTACAAACTGAAAGATTCTGAGAAAAACTGTAGGAGGCTCTCATGTGTTAAGCTTGTAGTTTTGCCTTTTTGAACTGCCCAACTTTGGGTTACTCAACTTCCCTGAAGGACAAAGCTAAGTCATGCTTGTCTTTGTCGGCTCAAGTACTAGTGGTGTATTATTATAATGTGGTGCTAGAGTTTACCATCTGATTACTGACTGCACAATTATAATATGATGTTGGAAGTTTGCTTGCATTGTTGAATGAGAAAGTCGGTGTCTGAAAATGTTGGGCTTTTCTAATCATCCTTTGTGTAACATATATACGCATGCATTGATGATGCACAGAGAACACCGGAAAAATGGAAGTGAATGAATTTGAATCCTTATTACCCTCATTTTCTTTATCAATGATCATACTAGTTCATCTATTTTTCCTTGAAACTTCTTATCTGTTTCTTCAACTTGATGCGGAGATTTATATCTCTTAGCTATAACATTTCAATTTGGAACATTGCTCAGAATGAACTGGCACACATTCTGCCCCTTAATTTGGGTCGTAACAAGGGTTGTATAGAGAGCCATATCACTTCTTCCAATAATCTGTTAGGAAAATTTGATTTTTAGGTGACTATATTATTCTATACTTGGCGAAAAGCCTTTGTGTTTCATGTTCAACAATTTCCTTTTTGAATATTTGGTCAGGTAAAGTATCATAAACCAAGGAGATGGGAGCCACAAAATCAGTACTTTTCCCTAGTTTCGTTGTATGGTAAAGATAACTCTAGTGAACCATTGCGATTGTGTTGCCGCCCAAGGTCAAGATTCGTTGATCTCTCTTCTCCAAGTGATCGTGGGGCTGCACTTTGGAGAATGCTTCCTTTTACACCAGATGCCTATGAAGATGCCATTGAGTTGGAATCTTCTAGTTCTTTATCTAAAAGGACATTTCACCTTGTTAATAAGAAGAACAATTGTGCGATAGCTTTTAATGATGGCATCCTTGAATTCGTAAGCAAGCCAGGAAATCTATTCAAGTGGAAAGTGTTTGATGACCGTGCTCCAGAGGGTGTAAATTTTTCACTGAATAGATATTTAATTGAGGGCCTTTCTTGTAACACTTCTGGATCTAGGGAACTACAAAGTTCTCAAATGACTGGAACTGGTTCTCAGGATGTTTCAGAGGTCGCTGATATGGGTGATTTAAGGACAGATAAGAAGCTTTCAGGGATCACTATGGTGGTGGACAAGGTTACACTGACAATTGTTCATGAGCTCTCGGATACTGAGGAGAATTTCCCGCTTCTCCAAGGATCAATTATATTCAATCAAACAATAATACAAATCTCAAAGCTTAAACTCAGGGTTATAAATACATTTGAAGTTGTTTTATACTACTTTGATGCGCATCAAAACTCATGGTACTTTTGTGCATAAATCTTTGTTTCCATCTCATAGTCATTGTTCTTTTCAGCAGGAAAAAAATAAATAAATTTTTCCATTACTATATGATGCTTCTAATTATCAATTTCATGTCTTTCCTTTTCTTTTCATCATTTTTTTTTTGCCTCAATTGCAGGATGGATTTTATTCAACCTGTTGAAATATGCAGTTTCTACTCGAAGAAGTTTGTTGTTGAGGGCGTCGAAAATTCTATCCAGGGAGTACCAAGTCGTTTCTATGCTAAGCTTAAGGAGGTTTGCCCTCAGCCCTTTTCTGTTTAACTCTTTGTACTTTTAAGCATCATAGTTTATTGTTCTCAAAAGTTTACTTGGCCCTGGCAGGTCTCTGTATCATTGAGTGAGCTTTCATTGGATATCCTGTTATTAGTAATTAGCAAGTTGGACTTGGCTGGCCCTTATGCAGTAAAAAATTCTGTAGTTCTGGACAATTGCTGCAAGGTTCTTACATTACTTATCATTACTTCTTTTTCTTTCTTTTACCATTACTTCTTTTTCTTTCTTCAATGAGGAACTAATAGATGCATGTCAATTTTGCCCAGTAAAAATATAATTATGGTCGTCAGGATCAATGCGATAAATAGGTTTTTGTTACAGTTTTTTATATCTGGTACTTGAAATATTGATTCACATTGTTTTCTTATACTTGGCATTAATAGTTGGACGAAGCTTCAATTACCTTTATATAAGTAACATATGCAATGGTGTAATTCATGGGTCCAGGTTGTTTACTTGTATAGATTTGTTTCAACTTCTTTTAATTTCCAACTTAATTGAGTAAATACTCACATTGTTATATGTTTGATGTTTTTTGATATACTTGATTGAATCCTCTTACTCAACAAAGTTGATATGATAAAGTTTTTATTTATTATTTATTTAATGCTATTAAAATATTGGTAACATTTATAATTGGATTTTGCAAATAGGTTGCAAACCAGTCCGGCTTGACCCTTGTTTGTCAATTTTATGATAATCAAGATGCATCAGTATCTGCAAGACAGTTAACTACTGTCCGTTTAAGGTTAGCACCAATGGAGTCTATTAGTTTGCTTGAACATTTACTCGTGGCATCATTGTCTTCCAGTGAAAAGATTGTACTTTTGATCCATTTAGTCTTTAAACTGAAAATGGATTGCATGATTTGCTGATGTGTAAACTGTAACTTCATTTTTCCCATTAACAACTCGCCTGAAATGAAGTGGGATGTTTTAAAAGCTTTCTATAGATTTTTTTCTACGGTGTATATCTTGACAACTTATTATGGTTGAGGTTTGTGGTTTTTGTGCTTGAGTAGTCAGAGAAATTCATCACCTTGATTTGGTGAAAGGTGCCCGGACTTGAGAGGGAAAAGAAACGAAAAAATAGACAGAAGGTGATTCTGTGACTGCAGTGTCTGCATTGTACGCTGGGTTCGAAACTCAAAGTGGTACAATTTGGCATAGACTCGTAATATACGGGCGGGGTTTCAGTCAATAGCAATATTTAAGGGGTATTTCTGCCATTTGAAGCAATTTTATAGGAAGCGAATGACTGATATGGAGATAGATCGACCTTAACAAACAAATGAAGATATTGAGTTTCTGCTATTTAGTAATTCAGTTTTTTAAATTGTATTTATTGTTATATATTTGGATGCATCATTTTCATTTCTCTGTAACTTCCATGGATAAAGTTTCTGGTTAAAATTTGATTTGGACTCTTGTTCTTGTTCACGTGTTCTAAGGCACCTGGCCTTGGCAAATCAACCACCAGAAGCATCTTTCTTTTCAGTACAGCTTTTCCAGAAAGGTTCCCTTTCAACTTCTCCAATTCATCTCTCACTTCCAGAAGCTTGTCAATTCGCTTGGAGAACCCGCATTGTTGGAGGTGTGTATTATCTTAAATTTTATAAAATCATTTACTAAAATAGTAGCAAATGATCCTAATATAGCATAGGGAATTTGTCCCAATGACTTGAACTGCTTAAGGTTTGCTTTTATCCGTTTAGTATTTTTGCATAACCTGGTACAATATAAGTTTTATAAATTATTGGAAGATGAATTTTCTGAATGTCAGTGGTGTCAGTTCGCCAAAATGGTAAAAATAATTTACTCCGATTTCCTTTTTATGCTTGCTGTGGTGTACTATGGGAAAGTTCAAAAGTGCAGACTGAAGGTATTTTTGAATTATCTAACTTTGTCAGTTAGGATGCTATCAGGTTGAAATTAGAACCAACACTTTTATCCTTAATAAAAGCTTTGAAATCTATTGCCATGCTCTCTTGCATGAAAATGTTTATTAATTTTTAGCAATTGCACTTGAACATTAAATTCTTCCGGTGCCCAAAGAATGTGTCAGTTCTATCGGTGATGGACTTATTTCCATAGACTTTCAACTTAATTTTCGTTCCAAACTTTTTTTGTGTCCTGTTCATCCTAATATAGCATTCTTAACAGCCATCTCTTACTAATGAGTTCCGGTGTGACCGTGTTGTATCTATGGCAAGCATGGGAGAATAATTTCCAGATTGCAGACTTAGCTGCAAAAACTAGTTCCAAGTGCATAACCTGTGGAACTTAGAGAACAGCTTTATCAGAGTGATAGATATGTTGCATTTGATAATTTGTGCTGTGTTTACTCCACCTGTAACATTAGAAAATTATTTATAAAGCTTAAGTAGAAGATAACTAGATAAGGATTTTATTTTGATTATTAAACGATGAATAGAGGACCTAGAAAATTATTTATAAAGCTTAAGTAGAAAATTATTTGGGCGTTATTGCCTATTCCAAGTCTAAGTAATGATCTTTGGACTTTGGCTGTCATTCTTGTGGAGGATTGACTTTGAGTTTTATCCTTTGCTGTACTTTGATCAGACTCCAAGTCTTTTCCTGGTCCATTTGTTGCTGTAGAAGTTTCAAAGAGATCTGAGGTACTAATCCATCTCTGATCTCTGTGATAGATATATTTACTACTTGTTGGCATTAATTTACTTTCATTGATATTGCTAGGATGGGCTGTCAATTATCGTCTCTCCTCTATTAAGGATACACAATGAAACTGATTTCTCTTTGGAGCTGCGTTTTCATAGACCTCAACATGAAGAAACTGAATCCGCATCTTTGAGATTGGATGCTGGAGATATTGTGGATGACGCCATGATGGCATTTACTGCTGTTGATTTGTCAGGTGGTTTGAGAAAGGCACTAACATCTTTAAGTGTTGGTGAGTTATATATATTTTTCCATTTATTTACCATTTATTTAGTATGTGGATGAAGTAAAGGGGAGTTTGATTGGACAACTTGTCTTATAGAATGTACATGCTACATATGGAAAGAGATAAAACCCCAAAACAGATGAATATAAGCTTTAGTCTCTGGAAATTTTAATAAGTTTCGTTTCTGCGTACTAATTACAATTGATAATGAGGTCTGACAGGTTCAAATTCTGTCTTGCTTTTGATTTTACTTGAAATTTTGTTCAACTTGAAGATATGTATTTTCCCTTAACCATTAAATTATTGTTGTCCTATATATCCAGTGCTTACAATGTAACAATTTTAGTTTAAAAGTCATGATATCTTTGTCTGGATCAATTGGTGATGGTTTGCATGTCAATCTGGATTGGAGGTTGTTTTATTTATTTATTTGTGTTTTGTGTGCTGCTTTTACTTTGCATGATAGATATGAGATATCTCTTTTCCTACTAGTGTTATTTGCCTGAGATTAATTAAGCGAAAGTAAATTTTGTAGGGAACTATGTTTTCTCGTTCAGACCCGACCTTGCAGATGGTACGAAGAATTTTGAGGAGTCATCAGTAGGGTGGTCAGATGATCTTAAAGGTGGGAAGCCTGTTCGTCTGTCAGGGTTATTTGACAAATTAAGTTACCAGGTGCGGAAGGCATTGTCCATTAACACGTTGAAATCAACTCTGGACAGTGCAAGTTGTGCTGTCAGATCCAAAGAAGGTTATGATGCTAGTATGTATTTCCTGATAAAAACTATTGGGAAGGCTATGCCTGTTGTAAATCCAGATAATTTCGGATATGCCCCTGGGAATAAAAATTCCCCAGTTGCAATGCAAGAGCAGAAGGAAATTTTTGTCCTGCCCACAGTTCAAGTTTCGAATTTATTGCACACTGAGATTCATGTCAGTCTAACAGATAGAGGTATCTATTAAGAAATGTGTATTGAGTTTCCTTTGTTTAATTTTGTTTGTAGTATAGTTGTGAACAAAATTTCTCTTTATTGCAGATCCGCAAGGCACCAATGGCAATCAAAATGCATGGAATCAAGCGACCATTTCTTGTGGAGCTGCTGCAAACTTCTATGCAAACCCCGCTACAATATATTTTGTGGTCACTTTAACATCTTTTGGCTTGAGCTGTAAACCAGTCAACAGCAGTGACTGGGTAAGGAAATTACAAAAGCAAAAAGATGATGTTTCTCATTTGGACATTGAGTTGGAGTTTGGTGGTGGGAAGTGCTTCGCTATGCTAAGATTGTCTGGGCACAGAGGCACATTACAGGTACTAATCCTTCAAAATTAGTTATTTGCTTTTTCCAAGTTAAAATTCAACGAGATTTTTTCGTTGTTTCCAGGCTGGCATCTTTACTTCATATGCGTTGCAGAATAATACAAACATGCAAATGTTTTGCTCTTCTGCCAACCAGAAGCCATTATCTTGGTATCATATGTTCTTTGTCATAATTATTTAGATATCTTGTTTGGTCAATTTCATCCTTAAGAGAAGTTTTTCGGCAGGGTTGACATGGAAAGATTTGGTCCAGATACTCCTCCAGAGTCGGGTTCATGCTTGCCTCCGAATTCCATCACATCATGGTTCTTGAAGTAAGTGCTAATATTCTTTCTGTTCTCTTACCATATTGTGAAGTAAGAGAGAGGAAGTTGCAACACCTGTTGGTTGAATAATAATATTCATTTGTATGCTATTGCAGCAAAAGCTGGTCATTAAATACAGAATTTCAAATTTTGGAGGAATATGCTCTGCGCTCTGCTTTAAGTTCCCTTGCTAGAAATCAGTTTTAATTCCGAATAAGTTAATATGTCTAAGAAAGAGCATCATGTTATCTTTCGAATGATTATTTTGCGCCTTACCATTTTCTTCTGAGCACAATTTATGCACTCTAAAGTCAGCAGAACATGCTGTAATATCAATAGTTATGTGGGTAGGGTGGGTTGATAGGGAGTTCGCTTGATTAGAAACAACAAATATTCCTAAAATCCATATAGTATTGTTGGAAGTCATTCATCCTTGAGCTGCATGATCACCCTTGATCAAAGGATGTTTTGCACGGTTCAGATCATCAGAGGCCCCACACCAGCATGCAATGTTCACCACAAGATTCAACACAATGCTGGCATGATTCTGGACCCTCAGATGACAAATCAAACCGTTGAAGAAGAAGACGAAGTGACAGCTTGCATGGGACACGTGCATGGCTAATATTGGCTGCTATAGGATATTCTCTTGTGTCCAATGAATAGCTAGGAACATCTTTGTTCTAGTCTAGGTTAATGTTTTGGATATATATATATGTAACTGAGCTGTGGCCGTCATCAATGATTAGACAATCAATGAAGAATTTTTCACAGCTTTTCACCCAAACTTTCATGGCATTCATCACCTCATGCTGCTCTCTTTTCATTTTCGGACATGGTATCAGAGCAGGTCTTTGACCTGTCTCTGATGCAATCCACCTTCTTCCTTTATTAAAAAAAAAAACAAAAAAATGTCACAAGATTCAACTGCAGGAGGAGGATCGGGCATCACCCAAAACAGTCAAATTCAAATAGTTCAACTCAGAACCAGCTCATCACCACTAAGCTTGATGAGTCCAACTATTTGATATGGAAACAACAAGTTCTCATCACTATCCGTGGCTATGGCCTAGAGAAGTTCATCAATGGACAAAGCTCTCTTACCATCAATGACAATGGTGAAACACATATCCTGGACAAGGCAAGATCAGCTTTTAGCCTCTTGGCTACTTTCCTCACTCTCTGAAAGCATACTGATTTTGACTGTGGGTTTAAGCTCCTCCAAGGAGATCTGGAAGTCCCTTGAGATCAATTTTTCGAGCCAAACTCTGGCTAAGCAAATGCAATACAACTTACAGCTTTAAACCCTTAAAAAGGGAAGCTTGTCCATGAGAGAGTACCTCAACAAAATGAAGTACTGCTTTGATATCCTTGCCTCCACTGGAAATTTGATTCCTCCTACAGACCAAATCTTGCATATCCTCTCAGGCCTTGGCTCAGAGTATAATCCAGTCATGGTAAATGTCACCTCAAGGCCAGAAGCCTTCACCAAAGGAGATGTTGAAGCACTTCTTCTTAGTTTTGAGTCAAGGCTGAAAGCTACTCAAACTATCAACTTCAATAATGAGGGAACACAACCAACTCTGAATGCAGTGAGCCAAGCTTCACAAGCAAAGTTCAATAACAACAACAGAGGCTATAACAATGCATCAAGAGGAAGAGGAAGAGGTGGCAGAGGCAGATTTGGTTCTAATAGGCCAATTTGTCAAGTATGTCAAGTTGCAGGTCACACTGCAGACAGATGCTGGTACCGGTTTGATCACAATTTCTCTGTCCAAAGTGGAAACACTCACAACAGCAACAACAACAACCACAACACCTTCATGAGAAACCCAGTTGTCCATACAATGCAAGTTCCTAGTTCTTGCTCATCTGTGCAAGAATCTGTTTCAAAACTGAATTAGTACCCTGACACAGGTGCTTCCAACCATGTGTCAAATGATCTCAACAACATAACCAATCCCACTGAGTATTTTGGAAGCAGCAAAGTGCAGATGGCAAATGGTGCTGGTGAGTGTATAGCTCATTATGGTAATACATTTCTTAAATCACCTCAGTCCTAAGCCTTTTTGCTCAAAAATCTCCTTCACATTCCTTCAGTCACTAAAAACCTTATTAGTGTATCACAATTTGCCTCTGATAATAATGTTTATTTTGAATTCCATCCTTTGTTTTGCCTTGTCAAGGACCAAGTAACACAGGACACTTTACTCAAGGGAGTTCTTAGAGATGGTCTCTACCAGTTCAAGCTCCATCCTTTCAGAAATAAGAGCCTTCAAGTTTCATCATCTAAGGAGCTTAGGAATTCTAGTTGTAATGCAGCTGTTTTATTTCTTTCCCTAAAAAGTAGTCCTAGTCTTGATCTTTGGCATCATAGATTAGGACACTCTAGTTATGATATTGTAATGAGAGCATTGAGAGACTGTAATATCCAATTTGAAATGAAAAAGAATGCCAATGTTTGCTCTCCTTGTGCTATGTCCAAAATTCACAAATCTCCTTTTGTTACCTCTGAAACTGTTTACACAAAACCTCTTGAACTTGTCCATTCAGACTTATGGGGTCCTGCACCCATTAAGTCTAGAAATGGATATTTTTACTATGTCACTTTCATTGATGAGTTTACCAAATTTTCTTGGATATATCTCCTCAAAGCAAAATCTGATGTTCACCAAGCATTTGTTCACTTTAAAAACCTTGCAGAAAATCAACTTGGCACAACCATTAAAATCCTTCAAACTGATGGTGGTGGAGAATGTAAGAGTCTTTTTGATATCCTTCAAACAAATGGAATCCTTCATAGACTTTCATGTCCATATACCCCTCAGCAGAATGGTGTAGCTGAGAGGAAACATAGACATGTTGTTGAGACAGGTCTATCCCTTCTTGCTCACTCTAATCTTCCCACTTCCGTTTGGGATGATGCCTTCATTACCTTAGTTTACATCATCAATAGACTTCCTACCAAGTCCCTAAAGTATAAGAGTCCTGTGGAGGTCCTTTTTAATCAAAAACCAGATTATAAAAAGCTCAAAGTTTTTGGCTGTTTGGCTTTTCCTGTTTTGAGACCCTTTAATAAACATAAACTCCAATACAGATCAATGCCTGACACTTTTATTGGTTACAGTAATCAATTTAAGGGTTTTAAAATTCTTCTCCCAAGTGGCAAAATCATTTTGTCCAGTGATGTCATTTTTGATGAAACCAAATTCCCTTACCATGACACTCAAGTTTTACATTCTCAACCTATGAATTCTAGCCCCTTCTGTACTTCTCCACCTCCTTTGATCTCTATACCACCTGCCTTGAATCATTCTACTCCACCAGCTTCACATAATTCACCCTCAATCTCACACCAACCACAAAGTCCCTCACATCACTCCATTCAATCCCCTTGCCACACACCAACCACTGCCTCACCTCACAGTCACTCTACAGTCCCTATATATGTCCAATTACCTACTATGAGCTCTACACATACCACACCTCAGTCAACTGGAGTTCAACAAGCACCAGCTTCCTCTAAACATCACATGATCACCAGGTTGAAGGCAGGCATCAGAAAACCCAAAATCTATGCTCTTACACCAACATGTGAGAAAGAACCAACTACTGTCACAGAAGCCCTTACCTCTCCTTTGTGGAAAGCAGCTATGACTGAAGAGTATGAAGCTCTTTTGGCCAACAAAACATGGACATTAACTCCTTTACCCCCAGGTAAGAATCTTGTTGGTTGTAGATGAGTTTTTAAAATAAAAAAGGATGCCAGTGGTAACATTTCCAGATATAAAGCAAGGCTTGTTGCCCAAGGTTTCTCACAATCTGCTGGTTTAGATTTTTCTGAGACATTTAGTCCTGTTGTGAAACCGGTTACCATCAGAGTAATTCTTTCTTTAGCCATAACCAATGGTTGGGAAATCAGGCATCTTGACATCAATAATGCCTTCCTTCATGGCACTCTTCAGGAGGATATATATATATATGAGGCAGCCAGTTGGTTTTGAGCAAGGGAATGGTGATCAACCTCTTGTTTGTAAACTAAGTAAAGCACTTTATGGCCTGCCTAAAACCGGCATCAAGGGCTTGGTTCAACACTATGAGGGCTGTTCTTCATAATCTTGGCTTCAAAGACACAAAATCAGATATCTCTCTTTTTATAAAGTCTGCATGTCAGTCTCAAGTGTATTATCTTGTGTATGTCGATGACATCATTATTTCAGGAAGTTCAAAGGAACACATTGATCATATCATTGCAGACTTGTCCAAGGTATTTTCCTTAAAAGACTTAGGACCTGTGCATCACTTCCTTGGTATAGAGGTCACAAACCTCTACTGGCTTGCACTTAAGTCAAGGAAGTTATATAAAGGATCTTCTTCAAAGAGCCAACATGTCAGCAGCAAAAGGAACAGGCACTCCTATGATCACTTCAGAACATTTGTCTCAACACAAGGGCAACCCTATCACAGAAGCTTCATTATACAGAAGCAAAGTTGGAGGGCTTCAGTATGTGACCATCACTAGACCTGAGATATCTTTTAGTGTCAATAAGGTGAGTCAATTCATGTCTAATCCCTTAGACACTCATTGGAAGGCAGTAAAATGTATTCTGAGATATCTATGTGGTTCTCTCCATTATGGCTTACAAATCACAAAATCAAAACATCTTGGTATTGTTGGCTTCTCTGATTCAGACTGGGCAAGTGATGTTGATGATAGAAAGTCTACAACAGGTTTCTGTGTGTTCTTGGGAGGAAATCTAATTTCATGGAAGTCTAAAAAGCAAACAAGTGTCTCAAGGTCCAGTACAGAATCAGAGTACAGGAGTTTAGCCCATGTGACTGCTGAAATCATGTGGTTGCAATCTCTTAAGGAATTGGGAGTCTCTCTTCATAAAGAAGCATGTGTTTGGGCGGATAATCTGAGCACCATAGCATTAGCATCAAATCCGGTGCAACATGCCAGAACAAAACACACAGAGATTGATCTACACTTTGTGAGGCAACAAGTTTTATCAAAAAATCTTCATGTGCTGCATGTTCCCTCAATTGATCAAATTGCAGATGTCTTTACTAAACCTCTTAGCTTGCAATTCTTCACTAGGTTAAGGAATAAGCTCAACATCTTTCCTAAACCTGAGTTCGAATTGAGGGGAGGTGTTGGAAGTCATTCACCGTCCTTGAGCTGCATGATCACCCTTGGATCAAAGGATGTTTTGCACGGTTCAGATCATCAGAGGCCCCACACCAGCATGCAATGTTCACCACAAGATTCAACACAATGCTGGCATGATTCTGGACCCTCAGATGACAAATAAAACCGTTGAAGAAGAAGACGAAGTGACAGCTTGCATGGGACACGTGCATGGCTAATATTGGCTGCTATAGGATATTCTCTTGTGTCCAATGAATAGCTAGGAACATCTTTGTTCTAGTCTAGGTTAATGTTTTGGATATATATATATATATATGAGCTGTAGCCGTCATCAATGATTAGACAATCAATGAAGAATTTTTTAAAGCTTTTCACCCAAACTTTCATGGCATTCATCACCTTCATGCTGCTCTCTTTTCATTTTCTGACAAGTATTAGCCTGCATCATGGGTAATAAAATGGAGTGCATTGCCATAACTTTCACATATTCTGTAAGCAAGTGGATGCTGGTATTCTTGCTGGGAGCTCTTTTGTAAATACTGACATACAATCTTCTGTAAAAATATCAACTAGTAGTTCTGACTAAGGTCCTAATGAAATAATGTTTATGATCGGGCAGCCTTATAATGAATAGATAAACCTTAATGAATTTCAAAAGTCTGATATCTGTTTGTACTGAATATCTGTTAAGTAAATTATAGTTATGCCTTATATATGTGATATCCCTCCTTCCCAATGCTAGAAGCCACAAATTGCGCTTGAGATTGTGGGAGGAGAAAGCAGTGGAGACGCAGTTGGACTTGGATGTATTATCAGGCCTTACCGAGATAGACCTTGAAACTGAAGAATTGTTTGGATTAAAAACAGTAACAAGGCTCGGAGTGTCTTTAAGGGCATTGCGTACCAAAGAAATCTCATCTCAGATAGTATCTTTCACCCCACGCTATGTTGTATGCAATCAATCAGAAGATGCAATTGCTATCCGGCAATGTAATATGGAGGTCTCCCCTTTCTGCCACACTTCTTTTCACATGATGGGTTATTCTGTATTGTGCTCAATATTTTAATTTTTTCTTATTGTAGGACACGGAAGAACTGATAACTGTCCACAGTAAGCAAAGGATAGCTTTAAAGCTGTATGCAGTGTCAAGATACAAGAAAGAGACCAACATTGTTGAATATATTCTCAGAAAGCATACAAACCCTCAAAGTGATTTAACATTCTTTATCCAGTTCCGACCTAATGAGACCGGGTTTGGTTGGTCAGGGCCTGTATGTGTGGCTTCGTTGGGACGTTTTTTCTTGAAATTCCAGAAATCCTTGGAATTCCCTGGAAATCAATCGGTTAGCGTGCCATACAAAGACAATATAAGTGGTTTTGCATCCGTTCATGTGGTGGAAGAAGGGTCTACCATTGTCCTTCACTTCCACAGGCCACCACTTACAAATCCTCCTTACAGGATAGAGAACTTTTTACATGATTCTCCTGTAACTTATTATCAGAAGGTTGATGCATGTTTTTCTTACTTTCATGTACAGTTTAATTCCTACTATTATGCGTAATGAATTTGCTGTTTCTTATATATTGAGCTTCATTTATCATTTTTTAGGGTTCATCAGAACCAGAGACTTTGGGAGCTGGAGTAACTGCTAACTATGTCTGGGATGACCTGACTCTTCCACATAAGCTAGTTGTCCAACTTGATGGTAATTTCATGTTTTCTATGTTTTTTTTTACTCTTTAATAATCTGAACATATATTTATGCTCTACTTTTCGACTCCATATGCTCATATTAATCAGTGGGTTTGCAGTTCTCAGTTGTTACCAAGGAAGACAGATGGAATGATATATGTCTAAAAACTGAAGTTATTTCAAAAGTTTTGATTCAAGAAAAATTAATTCTGGAATCATGGGACACCCCTTCAACTATGGCAATCGCAGACCCTTTCACAATTGTACATATATAAAGAATATGTACAGGATATATATCGGTCTTAGTTAATGCACCAGGAAATAGTTCACAGCAAGACACCTAAGTTTAATATGGTCATTTTCTAAATTGATAATTACATTGACGTTTTCAGAAAAGGATCTTGAATTGGGATTGATAAATGGGCTTGGGTAGAACACATCCCCGATAGCTAACTCAAAGGGGCATGGTGCCCACCCCACACTTATGCATAATACCTGAAACTAATCAATGTGGGACAAACATAACTTTTAATACCTGCCATCACACTTAGCGTGCCAAACAAAGTGGGTTGGGTCCAAGTCCAACATCACCTTCAAGCAAACAAACCTGGGTGCTCTGATACCATGATAAATGGGCTTGGGTAGAAAACAATTAATCAATTTTAGAGGGAAAATAAAATAGTTTAGCCTTGCAATGTGAAAAGTTAATATTAGCCTTGACCGTGACATGCCAAAACTTCTTTTACCAAGTACCCCTTGATGTGATCCCACTGTTAAGAGTTGCGAGCTTATGTGGTTCCTTGTTGGCAGATGTGCATATGTTGCGTGAAATCAACTTAGATAAGGTGCGGGCATGGAAACCATTTTATCGCAGCAAGCAGACTAGAGGATTGGGATTTCATTTACCCCTGAATAAGAAGGCTGAAGATCAGAATCGTACTTCTTACGGTCGGTTAATTGGCTCGGAGACTGTAAAGGTGGGTTATGAAGTATATGCAGAAGGTGTAACTCGAGTTTTGAGGATTTGTGAGTTCGCTGATAGTCATAAGGTGAATATGGTGCCTGGATCTGGTAGAAAGCTGCGGCTGAGAATCTCTTACTTTTCAGTCCACTTGCTAGAGCATGCCCAGCAGGTTGTTTTTCATGAATAACAATGTCTTGCAACATCATGCTTTTGACAAACTGCTCATAATTTTAGCTTTTAAGATTCTTCTATATTAATTTATCCACCTTATCGCCAATCCTTTTAAGAAAAATTAACCCCTCGCATTTTTAAGATCCCTATTGTCTAAGTTGATAAAGCCTTCTGTGATAGAGTATTTCTAGCACTTGTACAATTTCCTCAGTAGAAAATGGAAGTTAGGCAAAGTTTTGATTGTTGGATCAGACTTACTACTGTCTGGATACAACTCTTTATTTTTTCTGGTTTGAGCACAAGTTTAGTTTGTTTTAAAATGATATATGTTGCAGGAGACAGATCCAGGGGAGCCCTCCAAGTATGCACCAATAATTATTACAAGGATTGAACGATTTAGCTGGGATGCTATTTCCAACGACCAGCATAAATATAACCAGATCAGAGTGCAGGTGTGTGTGCATTTGCTCTTATTATTGCCGTTGGTCTATGTTTGCTCCCATTATATCTTATTCCAACTACTGGAAAGTGATGCAACACGTATGTTATATCTTATATGTCTCCTACTTTGGCTCCTAAATGCAGTCATTGAGCGTTGATGAGAAGTGGGTCGGAGCTCCTTTTGCAGCAATGCTTCGCCGGCACCAATCAGAAAAGTCTGATGCAAATGATTACATTCTCCATGTTGCAGTTGTTTTGCTTCCAACTAGTTCTTCCGTGAAACATGTGAAATACCTTTCCATTGTTCTGCAGGTACTAAAGAATATTGTGTAGGATTGATTACATTTGAAAAAATTAAAAATAAAAACTGTTTGTCATCAAAAGTAGATATATGTCCTTGACATATAGTTTTATCTTACAGATCGTATAGTTAGGGTAGTGTTCATATTTAATTTGTTGCTGAATCCTTTTGTAATTAGGCTAGAGTTTAGGTGGTTTTGTAACTATCCCTACTGTATGAGTGAAGTTTCTTGCATTTTATCTGTGTTTCAGTAGTTGCTTCCACGAGAAACTTCACGGTTATCAATTGTTTGCTTGAGCAAAATAATCCAATCTTGTGCTGAAAAACTGTTTTCAATCTGTCATATTTGCAGCCTCTTGACTTGAACCTTGATGAGGAGACATTAATGAAAATAGTCCCATTTTGGAGATCTTCTAGTGATTCCAATGCTCCCCGTCAACAGTACTACTTTGAACATTTTGAGATCCACCCGATAAAGGTCTTGTTGTCATACTCAGTTGCATTTAACAGAGTTCCGACCATCCGAACTAATTTGTACTTTCTACCTCTCTTTCTGACAATATTTGGTTTTAGTGGTGGCTCATAATAGGGTTTTACTTTTCTGTAATATTTTAGATTGTGGCGAGTTTCCTTCCTGGGGGTTTGCGTTACAGCTACAGTTCAACGCAAGAGACTCTAAGGTCTTTGCTCCATAGTGTGATTAAGGTCTGACATTGATCGCCGTTGTGGAATATTTCTTTTCTCGAGCTAAGAATAGGTATATCAATTTGATTTGGTATCATAATTCTTACAGATACCTGTCATTAAGGCAAAGACAGTCGAGCTCAACGGGGTCCTTGTAACGCATGCTTTAATAACATTACGTGACTTGAGTATAAAATGCGCACAGCATTACTCCTGGTATAATTGTTGCAGCTTTATTTTGTTCCTTTTCTCTTCCCTGTTTCAGTTTAGCCATTAGCCTAAATTTACTTTTTGAGTGCAGGTATGCAATGAGAGCAATCTATATTGCAAAAGGAAGCCCATTGCTTCCTCCAGCCTTTGCTTCTATATTTGACGATCTAGCTTCGTCCTCCCTTGATGTCTTTTTTGATCCTTCAAGTGGCTTGCACAATCTTCCTGGTGTGACCTTAGGTATCTCTTTTTTCCTCAATATGCTTGCAAAGGTAGAAATGATTGTAGCAGAATAGAACCTAAAATTTGTTTCCACGTAGATGTTATTAAAATTGCTAGAGCATGATTGAATATAAATCCAACCCAAAAAATCCAATCATTTTTAACTCAACCACTTTTTTTAACTCAACTTTAACTCAACCCCTCTATCATCAATATTATCAATATAATTAAATAATATCAATCAATCATTCTTACACACAACATCAACCTTAATTCACTATTCATCAACTCACATAATTTTAACTAACCATCACATCACATATTTTCTCCTACTTTTACATCATTTAATTTTATTTTATTTTAAATATTAATATTTTAACATACCCACTAACAACTAACCATACCAACTTTTTCAAATTTAACCAACCCAAACCAAAAATTCAATCAAAATAATTTTTTTTTTTTTATATCCAATCATGCTCTAAGTTGATTTTACTGTTATGTGGCGGTTAGCATGATTTGAAGATCATTGTGTTTGATATGTATGCAGTCTTCCTGCTTTTTGGTTTTCATATGAGACAGTTTACAACAGAAAAAATGATTTATGTGCATTCTAATTATTAATTTGAAACTGTTTTAGTAGGAATATTGAAATATGATTTCTGGTATATGCTTTAATTTCATGATTTAGGAACGCTCAAGCTCATCAGTAAATTCATAGATAATAAAGGTTTTACTGGAACAAAGCGCTACTTTGGCGATCTGGGAAAAACGGTTGGTGTTTGTGCTTCTATATCTTCCAAAACTAGTTAACATTATCTTGATTTGATATGTAATTGCATAAAAATTTAAATGTGTTTCATTTGCAGTTGAAAAAAGCAGGGTCAAATATACTCTTTGCTGCAGTAACTGAAGTATCAGACTCTGTTCTTAAGGGAGCAGAAACCAATGGATTTAATGGAATGGTCAGTTTTATTTACGTATTATTATTTCTAAATAATAATTATGGATCTTCAAGTTGTTGACTTGTGGAGCACATTTTCTTTAGGTGAATGGTTTTCACCAAGGAATTCTTAAATTAGCTATGGAACCATCTGTCATAAGTACTGCTTTCATGGAAGGTGGCCCAGATCGGAAAATCAAACTCGACAGAAGTCCTGGGGTTGATGAGGTAACGCGAGAGTCGAGCATTGGATTTTCAGAGTTTTTTAAAGTTTTGAAATGAAAAAAAAGGCGAGAAATCCCAGTCTTTCAAATTACACTGAGAAACTAAAGATTTGGATCATAGGCACTGAGAAGCATCCACTCTTTACTTCCTACTATTTTCTCCATCAAAATACATAAAATCTATACTTATATAATAAGAATTAACATTTATCCAAAATAGTAGGTCAAATTATGGTTAATGTCGGATTTGCATTAAATATTTTTCAAAACCAGTAAGTTTTTGTCCTTTTCACACTTTTCATTAATTATGTCATTTTCACACATCGAGCTTTTATCGTTAAAATGTATAGCGATCTGTTATGACCTTATCCCATTGATATTTCCATGAAGCGTCCTTATCGCGTTCTATTTTTTGGTAACCACTTTATATCAATAACCGGATATTTGGTTAATGATAGCACACGTCTTTATTTCAAGGAGCGGATATTCTTTGACCTTCTGAACTGATTGTCTTGACTTTTCAATTTTTAAAAACTCTTTTTTTTAAAAACTCTTTTTTTATCGCACGTTGGTCTTTTCCTGAAGAAACCCGTTTTCAGTCACGGCCAATTATATGTTGCTGCTTCGCGTGTAAATAATAGAAGGGGGTTGAAAATATTAGTTTGTGATAATGAGGAGTTACCAAATAATCAAACTCATAATTTATGATTTACAAGGAGGTTTTTAATAATTTATGATTGTTACCGAACTTTTTATGATTCAACAATGTTCCTATATATTTTAATGATTTCAATTTCGATTCTAATGCACGTGAGATTATATTATTCTTCCAAATATTACATCCCGTGCATCGCACGAGTTACGTACTAGTTTTGTCTAACGTCAATTATAAGTGCTGAAAAAACTCTCAATCTTTATATGCTGAACAATGCAGCTATACATTGAGGGCTATCTGCAAGCAATGTTGGACACCATGTATAAACAAGAATATCTGAGGGTGAGAGTCATTGAAAACCAGGTAACTTCTCATTTATAGTCAAAGTGAGATTAATACATTGATCTCAGACTTCACTCTCTCCATTATCTATGTTACCTCTATGCCTATATACTCTATAATATTTTGGCCCACTTTTTATTCAAACCTTCACTTTTGTGTAGGTTATCCTCAAAAACCTTCCTCCGAGTAGTTCTCTTATAAATGAAATTATGGAGAACGTAAAAGCCTTTCTCGCAAGCAAGTCGTTGTTGAAGGGGGAATCTTCTTCATCCCATTCCTTACGACACATACGAGGAGAAAGAGTGAGTGCAGTCCTTCCAATCTTTTATTTTTTATTTATTTATTTATTTAATTTTGTGGATGAGTGCATAATTAGGCTAAACCACAGGTAGTTTTGTAATCCTTAAAAAAAGTACTAATCATGCGGACTGTTGACTAAATTACTACCAAATTATTTTCGACCAGGAATGGAAACTCGGGCCCACTATATTAACTTTATGTGAGCACTTGTTCGTGAGTTTTATGATTCGTCTGCTTCGAAAGCAGTCTGGCAAGGTTATGGGCAGAATCAAGTGGAGGGAAAAGGCAAAGGAGGAGGTTGAAGATAAGGCTTTTGTTCCCACTACAAGTGGTGAGGAGGAACAACAGAAGGTGAAGCTCGTGTGGAGATGGGGAATTGGGAAGTTTTTCCTGTCTGGTATAGTTGCCTATATTGATGGCCGGTTATGTCGAAATATTCCAAATCCCTTAGCAAGGAGAATTGTGAGTGGTTTTTTGTTGAGCTTTTTGGATCAAGGTGATGATGATGAAACAAAGTAAATGCATAGTGATTAGTGCATTGGGAAAGATGAAAATTCTTTCGTAGGTGATATAGATAGTGTGAATTTACTAATTTTCGTCATCTGTAATTTGTAATTTGTAATTTGAAATCGAAGGAAACATTTGCTAAATCTGAAAGATGACACTTTATAGCTACCATATTTGTTCATGGAGAAAAGTATGTGTTGTAAATTGTAATGTGTAAACTTTAGACATGATTAAATTATATATTCAGTTCAGTAACGGTGAAAAATCATACGGGTATGTTTTGATCTGACGATAAATAGTCCGGTTACTACAATTATCGGTTTTTGAAATATTCCCTTGTTTGAGACTGGGAAGAAACTGCTGAGTTCATCCTAAATTCAGTCACTTAAGTACTGTCGTTATGAGACGGTGGGGTTGGACAAAAAATGTGTAGCTGTTTTTTAACTTATGCGCACGCAAAATGTTATAAAGGTTCGTGAGAAGCTAATAGAAAAATTAGAAAACATAAATCATTGAAAGAGTTGGTACGGTGGTCTTGGAGACGCACCTTATGAAACTGGTAGCCAGCCCACTGATTATTTAGGATAAATAAATTTGTTTTCTTCTTGAATGTATTTCTTGTGGTCCCTTTGTTTTACTTTTTAGTTTACTTATAGATAAATGTGAATATAGAGCTTACATTAAAGACAACAATAGTCCCTCAAACCACTTGAGATGAGAGTTGAGATAGGTTTAGATTTAACATGGTTAAAAAAAAAAAACCAGCTTCTCATTACCTTCCGTACTGTAATAACCTATCAATTTTTTTTTAAAATAAAATTAGTAAATACAAAAAGAAGCACTTGAGAGTTGGGATAGGTTTAGATGAAACATAAGAAAATAAAGAAAAACAAAACCACTATCTTCCGTACAGTAATAACTTCGCAAACTTGACAAAAAAAGAAAAAAGAAAATAATAATAATAATAATAAATAAGAGGTATTTTCGAGTTCCTCACGCACTAGAAACCATACGCAGCCCACTCTTTGGCATCGAAAACCACTAAACCTATTCTATATAATCCACGGGCCCGAACCATTAAATTACTCGAAAATAGGCCCACAGAAACATATTTATTTATAAATTTATTAAATTAATTTATCCTCACTCCCCTCTGTATATAGAAGTCTCTCAACTCCAACGCATTATCAAGACTATTATCCTCTCTTTGTACTCTCGAAAAGAAAAAATACTACTAATGGCTTTTATGATCTCCCAAAACCAGCCTTCTTTTTCAGACGAAGCAGAAAAGATCATTAGCAGAAAAGAGGAAAGTGAGCGCAAAGGTTCGATTTCCAGTCATCTTTTGCTGAAATCGTCATCACAAAGTCTCGATAAAAGTGTGGTGCTCAGGCGAATTCGGCACCACAAGGCAATGAACAAGGTTAAGAACACTTTGCGGGCTTTGTCACGGCCCGATATCTCGGATGATTATTATTCCGAGGAATTTTATCAACACAAATGGCTGCAACAAGGGGACTGTTTCACCTCCCCATGAAAACACAGTGCAATGCATAGCAAGTGGAAAATGCAGCTTGTGTGTATTTTTATTTTTTTCCTAAATTTATTAAACTAGCTTGATTAGTTTGTGTAATCGTGTTACATATGTGTGTTTGTGTAATATGCTTACATATATATGATATCTATGAAACAATGGGCAAGTTGGTAGGATAGAGTACTCTTGAAAGATATGGAGAATATTAGGAGTGCAAAATAGTTTTATTGTGATTCAGTATCGTGTTTTCGTATTATTTATTTTATTTCATTTAATCGTTAATAGGGCAACAAATTAATATTTCACAAAAGATTTTATTGTTAGTTTGTTTGGTACTTGAATAACAAGTAGATGGTTTAAGGAGATTGAAGAAAATAGAAACAAAAAATTGAAGTTGAGGCGCACGTAATAGTTACGTAATCATGAAATTTCTTCAGTAAAAATACACGGTTAAAATCAAGCGCCTTCGACGACTTTTGACTTGCATTAAGCGGTATTTTAAATACATAGGCCTTCGATGAACAATGCTGTTATTTGGAACTCTCAAGACCCAACAAAAATTAAAGAACACAATATAATATATGAACTTTTTCTATGATATATGAACTTTGAAAAAAGGTAATGCAAAAGCTCTTAAATTGCAAGTATTTTGAATGATTCATGTATGTAAGTATAGATGTAGGAAAGCATCTTGAGGAACTTTAAGTTTCAAGATACCTTCTGAGACTTGCGCACACGAGAACGAACGACAAACCTATTAGAGTTATAGCATAATTATACGTTAATATATCTCGTTTGTTTTGTCCGCATTCAACAAAATCCAAACATTTTTCAAATTTAGTGATCTTTGAGTTATTTAAACTTGATTGTTTCAACATTATATTTTTCCTAACATACGACCTAGAACTAATTTTACATTCACTTCAAAACTATTTGAAAATTTTCTAAGTCTCTACCATTTCCAAAAAAGATGAAACTCATAAAATAGATATAAAACCAATTTTTCTTAGATTTATTTGTTTCTTCGTGTGGTGTTTTAGGTTGTTCATTGTTTAATGTGTCTTTTTTTTTTCCAACGAAAATCAAACTTATATATAACTCAAAGAACATACAACCGGAAACCAACGGGTTACTGAACAACGGGAGAAACATCATCTTGTTCCCCCTCCAAAGCCAACATGGCCAAAGACCTACTAGAGAAAGAAGTAGAAGACAAACCAAACAAACACGAACGAAAAGACCTACATAACAAACTAATATCCTCTAACATAACATTCGAATTACAAATAGAGCCATTCAAGCTGTTCAACAGGTGTAGTACCGATTTAAGAGAAGTAGTACAAACAATGTGTTGCCAGCCTTCATCCACAGCCTTTTCTAACACCCATCTAATTGCCAGCAAAACAGCATTCTCATGTTGATACCACCCCTGCGAAACAGCTTTCCATTCATGCACCAGTCGACCCTCTGTATATACAGCAGCTCCCAATCCAATTTGCCCTGAAGAAAAGCCATGAGCACTGACAGACAACAGAAACTGCCCTACTCCATTGGAAAAGTGGTTCTTCTCCATGCTTTGATCAGGAACTGTCTGCCCTCGAACTGTAGGATGCTTTTCCTTTGCTGCAATAAATTCTCTCATGGATTGCTTTGCCTGTGCCACCAAGATGATCTCTGACAGAGCCTCCTTCTCAAATTTCCATTTATTCCTTGAACACCAGAGTCTCCAGATGAGATATGCTGAGGTACAAATCCTGTCTTCCATTTCTTTAGTGTTTCTGGCAATACAAATGTCCATCCACCAGTTCTGAAAAGTGAATCCCTGCAACTCAAAAGCTTTCCATGAGATACCTACCAATTTCCAACAGAGTTGTGCTCTGGGACAAAGAAAAAGCACATGATTCAGATCCTCATTATCTTCACCACACATATCACACACAGTATCAACTGGCATCCCTCTCCTAGAAATTTGCAGATTTGTACTAAGAAAACCATGATAGCATCTCCATAGAAAATTTCTGATCTTCCCCTGAATAGGTAACCCCCAAGTTCTCTTCCACATCTTCTGATGATTCACAGTGCCAGAACAAGAACTACCCTGGGAATTCTGAGTTAAAAACTTGTTCATAATAGCCTCATAAGCTGATTTTACTGAGAATAGGCCATTAGAGGAACAATGCCACACCCACTTATCTTTAATCCCCATATGACTAATAGGAACTTTTAGAATAGCTTCAGCTTCAAAAGGAGAAAAAGATTGAAATATAAGCTCTCTATCCCATCTCAACTCCCCCTTAACAAACAAATCACACACTCTTCTAAACCTATCTCTATCCCCTTGAAATTGAACCTTAGGCTTAAAGTCAGGAAGCCCTGGAACCCAAGGGGTGTTCCACACCTGAGCAGACTTCCCATCCCCTATTTTAACCCTAGCCCCAATCTTCAGAGAATCCCTAACCCTAAGCCAGCTTTTCCACATCCAAGAATCCCCATTTTTCACATCAACCTCAAATAAATTATGACTATGAAGATATCTACCCTTAATGATTCTGCTCATTAACAGATTTGGATGAGTCAAAATTCTCCACAACTGTTTAACAAGTAAAGCATCATTGAACATACAAAGATCCCTAAACCCCAGCCCCCCTTCAACCTTCTTCCTAGCAAGTTTATCCCAAGATGCCCAATGAATCCTCTCTCTCCCCCCCTCTGATTTCCCCCACCAAAACCCAGCAGAATACTTACACATATCTTTACACACTGAGATAGGTAATTTAAAGCAAGACATAGCATATATGGGAAGAGCTCCCAAGACAGATTTTATCAGCACTTCTTTGCCTGCTTCACTCAAAAAGGTATTCTTCCAATTATCCACTCTGTTTTTAACACACTCGCTCACATATTTGAAAGTATCCTTCTTAGACTTCCCTATCCCCAGAGGCAACCCTAAGTATTTAGCCGAGGAAACACAAGAAATATTACCCAAAGCCTGGCAAATAGCAAGTTTATCAAGATCACTGGAGTTTTTAGAAAAGAAGACAGAGGACTTATCAAAGTTGACCAATTGGCCAGAAGCTTCACCATACTTATGAAGAATATCAAGAACAACAAAAGCTTGCTCCTGGGAAGCTCTACAAAAAAGAATAGCATCATCTGCAAAGAAAAGGTGGGTCAGAACAGGAGAATGTTTGTTTAATTTCAGACCCAAAAAAGAAGCATTAAGAGAGGCTTGTTTAATAAGATTAGATAAGGCCTCAGAAAGCAAAATGAACAGATAAGGTGATAGGGGATCACCCTGTCTCAGTCCTCTAGAAGGCACAACAGAACCCAAGATTTGGCCATTGATATTAAAAGAAAAAGATGCTGAACTAATGCAAGCATAAATCCAAGCCAGAAACTTATTACAAAACCCCATATGACGACAAACTTTAATCAAAAAACCCCATTCTACCCTATCATAGGCCTTTGCCATATCAAGCTTGATAGCCATAAATTTATGATTGCCTTTTCTTTTGCTATTAAGAAAGTGGACAACCTCATTAGCAATAATAGTATTATCCAAAATTTGTCTCTGAGGGACAAAAGCAGACTGAGCTTCAGAGACACAAAAATTCAAAACAGGCTTAAGTCTATTGGCAAGAACCTTAGCTATCACTTTATAGGTGACAGTACACAAACTAATAGGTCTATAATCCTGAATTTTGGTAGGATTTTTCTTTTTTGGAATAAGAGTAATAATAGTATGGCCAGTGGCCCTAGGAAGTCTACCATAAGCAAAAAAATTCTTAATAGCTAGACACAGATAATCCTTAACAATACCCCAAGAATTCTGAAAAAATAAGGGGGACATGCCATCCACCCCAGGTGCTTTATTAGGGTGCATGTCCATCAAAGCTGCTTTGATTTCATCCTCTTCAATCCCCTTAGTCATTTCAAGATTCATATCCATAGTAATAGTTTCTGGTAAACCTCTCAAGCAACAATTATCCACAGTTGGATTAGATGTTTTGAGTAATGAATCAAAATACTTCATAACTTCAGTGACAATATCCTGATCAGATTGACATCTCCTCCCATCACCTCTTGTGAGGTTCTCAAGATTATTAATCACTCTTCTCTGCTTGACTGATGCGTGGAAGAACTTAGAGTTTTGATCCCCTTCCTTCAACCACAACACCCTGGACTTCTGCTTCCAAAAACACTCTTCATCTCTATAAGCTTGGTCCAACTGATTTTTACAATTCTCCCACTCTGACCAATTCCTAAACCCACCAAGAGTCCCTAGATCAGCTAATTTCTCTTTGCAGACTTTAATAGCTTTAGCTGAATTAGATTTCAAAGAGGAGTTCCAACTGAGCAAAGCCATTCTAACATTTCTAATCCTACCCTGCAAACTGTACATAGCAGGGCCCTCCACATGTTTATTCCAAGCTTCCTCCACAACCTGATCAAAACCTTCAACTTTCGTCCACCTAGAGTCAAAAGCAAACCTCTTGTTCTGCTTAGAGATAATGGGATCAGAATTTAAGAAGAGCATGCTGTGGTCAGAAGAAGATAAAGGAATAACCTTAACTAGGGCATTAGGGAAATGAAAGAGCCAGTCAGGGGAAACAAAAAACCTATCTAATTTGACTTCGACAAAATCCACACCCCTCCTATTGTTAGCCCAAGTAAAGGTATGACCAATAACTTTAGGCTCCAGAGCATTGAGACCTCTAACCAGGTCCCTGAAGTTACAAAAACTACTCTCCTCCCTAAGCCTACCCCCTGACTTATCAGAATTAGATAAAATATCGTTAAAATCCCCACACATAAACCAATACTTACCCCATCCAATACTATGTCTAATAAGAAAATTCCACTGCATAAGCCGAATAGAGATATCATTACTAGCATACAAGAAAATGCCCCACTGAATAATAGAATTACCCTCAACTGAAAATTGGACTTCCATACAAAAATCAAAACAGTTGAGACTCAAAATAGTTACTCTATTAGACCAGGATAGTAATAAGCCACCCCTAGTCCCAATAGGATCAACATAGCACCACCTATCAGCCAATTTTAACTTCCTACAAACAGTAATAACAAATTTACGTTTTTTCTTGGTTTCAGACAAAAAGAGAAAATCGGGGAGATGAGCTCGCAAAGACTCTCGCACTTGGGAAATTGTAGAGGGTCCTCCCAAACCTCTACAATTCCACACACAAACTCTCATTGACCACTTGGGGACCAGTTATGGCTGGCCACCTCCACCTTATCACTGCACTCAACTGGGGAGATTTTATATTTTTTAGGGTCCAGTTGGAGATTCTGATCCTCAGAATCCTCTCTAAGACTCAGTGTTCTTTTGTTAGAAAGAACACCTAGTTGGGGCATAGCTTGAGGAGAAACTGAGGTATCCACAATCATACCCTCTTGTTTAGTGACTGTCCTATTTCTTCTAACAAAACCCTTTTGCTTCCTAGGACCCATATGATCTGTCTGTCCCATGTGCACATCTACCTCTATTAGATTAGAGGGATTATGCTCAGGAACCTGACTAACCAAAGCAGAAGTTTTAATGCCAGGTCTATCCAACCCTTTTTCTAACTCAGTAGGGCTACTACCACTGGCTTCACCCACTGAGCCTAACTTAGAACAATGTTCAGAGTTATCAGCCATAGGCTTAACAACAGAGGTACTAACCTTATCCCTCTTATCCCCCACAGCAGACAAAGGAGTCTGAATCTGTTCAGGAATAACCTCATTAGGTATATTCTCCTCAGAGCTAAATCTAGACACTCTAGACTCAAAAACAAAATTATTACTGGCTCTCAACCATTCCCCAAATTGACCCAGGTTAAGGTTATTACTAGCAACATCATCTTTCTTAATAGCACAGCCCTTATCTCCATGCCCTATCCTCCCACAGTAGAAACAAAAGGTCTGCAGATTCTCATATTTAAATTCCACCCAAGTACTCTCATTGCCCAGTTTAATTTGAGTGCCCCTTAAAATAGGGTCCCCTAGCTGAATATCGACCAAAACCTTTAAGATCCTACCTTGGATATTGCTAGCTCCTGGAACCAGAACATCTATCACCTCACCCAACATCTTGCCTATCTTCATACCCACCTCTGCCGAAATCCAATGAAGTGGGAGGTTGTGTATCTGCACCCAAAGCTTCACCTTTTCTTCCTCAGTTGTAAACTCCAAGCACTTAGGTTGCCAATTTTTCAAGAGAAGATACTGGCCATCAAAAGTCCATGTCTTTCCCATCAGAATTCGTTCCTTGTCAGCTTCATTTTGAAAAACAAACTGAAAGAGGTTGGAACCCAAATTTCGGATGGAGAACTGTTGACGGGTAGTCCAGACATAATTGAGAGTAGACTTTAAGCCACTGAAATTCACCTTTTTCTCTCCATAAATCTTGCCTATAAGACTAAGATTACACTCCTGCAACCCCACTACAACATCATCATCAGATATCATTAACCCCTTTTCTTCTTTGTCCGAAAGAACAAATTTCTTCAATCTATCTGCAATATCTTGCTCCATATCTCTAATCACTGAAGAACGACTAAGAAGGAATCCAAACCGAAACTGCGCAGCTCCAAAAGACGAAACACCCAATGAAAGCACCTCGAGAGCGAACAACCACAACCCCCAAAGAAAACCTAACCCCAACAAACAAGGCACACCTACCGCAGACCCAAACAC